AGAAAGAAAGAAAGAAAGAAAGAAAGAAAGAAAGAAAGAAAGAAAGAAAGAAAGAAAGAAAGAAAGGGAGCGAGAGACAGATGTAGAAAGAAATGCTAAGAAAAGAAATCTACATACAACTTGAATGATAACTTTAAAGCTACTGAATAGGATGAAGCACACCTGATATTCACAAGTGAAATTTTATCTTAGAACATGAACTCATCTTCCTCATTTCTGCTATGAACGTGCATTTAGCATAAAAACACTTCTATAGTGACAGGTGACCAGAGTGTGAAGGTCCGGAAACAAAGATCCACTATGTACAGTCAGAAGCCTCTCAAGAAAACAAAGGCAAATCCACATTGCCCTAATTGGCTCTGTTGCTGTAGCTACCTTAGACTTGGTGAGCCTTGGGAGTTTTGCAATCAATATTAAGGCAGCTGCATTAAGTGTGTAGTTCATTAGTACAGCCAATATAACAAATTCTACTGTGTCCATAAGAACAAACCTGGCTGGCTTGAGAACTCTACTCTGAACAATAGAAACAGTATTCTGACCCTGCAAAGTCTCCCTCCAGACTCCGACTCTTTCTGAATGATGCTAAGGATTTGCTGACTTCAGCTGCCTGTTCAGAAGACGATAAGCTGAAGGAGACACACAGGAGCTTAATAGACTTGACATCAATAAAAACACAAAAAGAAGGGGGAGGCATGCAGTTTCTGACCACATGGATTGGCCCTCAGTGAAGAGCTCTTTCAGAACTCTGTGGGTGGTTTGCTAATCTTGTCTTAACTCCTCTTAAGTTTCAAAGGAAAACTTGAAAAGAAAAACATTGCAGACACTTGAAGCAGCCTTCTGTGCTATATTCCACAAGAGATCTGTACTTTAATTTTGTACCCAAGTTTTCTTTCCAAGGAAAGGAAAGAATGTCTCATCTTGGAGAGCCTCAAATTCTTGAGAGTCCCATTTTGGCTGTGCCCTTGCTTAGCCAGGGCTCTAGTTTCCACAAGATCAGACTCTATATTGGCTGGGCTCTGTCAGTGACCAGAACGAACACGCTCTGTCTCAGCATCTCAAAACCGTGCTTCTGTGCCATGCTTGAGTATCAAGCTCTGCAGAGCTTTCTCCCTGCTTGACTCATAGTACTTTTTTTCTAATTAGGTTAAGTTCCCAGGGAATGTCCTTCATTTGTCCTGGGAGACCCGGGAGAGCAAGAAGGCTCCCTGACATCCCTGCATCAAACATTCAAATATTTTTGTTTTTGTTTTCTGTAAAGTACCAGGACTTTTTTGGGAGGCCACAGCAGTCCGCATTCCCTCCTCCATTGCTAGCTCTAAGTAGTACAGGAACACTGGGACCCAAGCTTTGAAAGGAGTGAACTAAGGTCTTGAGGAACTTCTCTTTCACAAGGTTGAGCTGTAAGGGGAGGGAGAGCAAAAGGAGCAAGTCTACAAAACAGCAGCCAGCTTGGAAGCTCTTCCTGCACAAAGGCTTCTCCCAGGTGCTGAGCAGCAAGGCTGGGATGGACCAAGTAGTGCTGAAAGCCTTCCCAGGCCTGCATGATTCATCCAGTGCTCCTGGAGCTGTCCCCGCTCAGTTAGAGCCTGGGTACCGGGTTCCGGGAGGGTGCAGGGAGCTCCACCCTAGGGCTGCCCCACTCACAGAGCAAGCCCAAGCAGCCCTGGAATCTCGCCCCACCCCTGCCTCTCGCCAGGTCTGCAGAAGCCGGGCTTGTCCTCACCTGGAGCATTCAGCACAGTTGAGCGCGAAGGAAAGTGGCAGCGCCAGTGCCAGCCATCCCTGCCACGACTCACGTAGAGGCCGCCTACACCCCCTTGGCTGTCTGGGCTGCTAGAGGGAGGGCGCTTGGCTTTGTTGTTTATTCATAAGACTGCAGCTAAGGCTAGGGATTGGCCAGCGGGTAGGTATGCCCGCCTCTCTTGCAATGACGAGCTAAGTCACCACGCCCCTACAGCTTGGACTTTGTAGACTCAGCCACCGCACTGGCCTGGAGCAGAGTGGGACACTGCGCCCTGGACCCTTCATGAGCCCCTGCCCCCAGCTTTCCCTGTTCACATCCTGAACTTCTGCTGCAGCTCTCTTTACACTTTCAGAGAGGACACCAGAACACTGGTCCAACCAGAGCAGGAATTTCTCTGGTGCCTGGTAAACAAGGGGCACTCAGTCCTCAGATGCAGTGGTTCCCTGTGGGAAGAGTGGGCAGCTTGGTGGGGCCACTAATCAGAGGAAATCTGCAAGAACTGTTTCTTCTGACACAAAGCAAGGTGCCACATAAATTACCGCATAAGAACTGCACAAGAGCTCTGAAAATTAGGATGTCCCCTTGAAAGTTGAAGGTTCAGGACTATAGTTGGTACAATGGCATAAGGCAGAGTTGCCTTTGCCTGCTATCTTTGAACTTCTCAGTGACTCAGTTTCCCTTTTTCATTCTCCTAATTTTGAAGGGAGAGAAGTAAGTTTTAGAACAAGTCACATAGTACTTTGCCCTTGGTTCTTTCTGGTCTTATGATCGCCTTTCTTCAGGATGGTCTTTTAAGTAGCAAGTTTGTGTGTGTGCGCGCGCGCGTGCGTGCATGTGTGTGTGTGTATGTGTGTGTGTGCGCACGCGCGCACTTCCTCATCTTTGGTTTGTGCTCCATCACCTTATTTCTCCCACTTCCCTTTAGAACAGTTTTGTATATTTGAATGGAAGCCAGCAAGCAGTTTTTGAATGGAATATGATTAAATTTAATTAATGGATAAAAGCTGTACTCTATGTGTGTTCAACTTAATCCACGATGCATTGTGTGGTGACCAGGAGTCCTGCCAGATCAGCCACACCTAACTAAGTTATTTTTCAGTATTTTCTTTTAAAGTCAATGGTTTGGAAAATCAGGTTATATTTTCTCATTATATAAAGTGTATGGAAAGGTCTAAGCTGGCACACAAAAAATGGGTCAGCTAAACCCAAATTCTGGTAACTAATAGGACTAAGGAAAACAACCTGAATGCTAAATGTTGAGTCCACAGTTTCAAGCTGTATATAAGAGATGGCGAGAGGATGATATTCCCATTCTCCTCACATCCACAACCTGACTCATCCACAGATTTTATCTACTCATAACTTCTTTGACATCCTCTGGTCTCTGTTTATGTATCTTTTGTCACGACACTCCCAAGTTAGAAATGCAGAGTGCCACTTAGACCCTCTTAATGCTGTCATCCTCTGTGGTATCTCTTTCTTGTAACAAGATCTTCTCTCCCACAGCAGCAAATTATGTTGGCTGTGCAGTAAAACAAAGACAATCTTCTTGAAGCTCGTTTATAATTCTTTACCCTGTCCCAAATGGTCAACACTACCTTAAACCGCACTAGTTGGTACGGTTTATCTCAAAAGCTGCGGTTAGTACACGGCAGGGATAAAAATCTGCCCTCCCCCACTTCAACACATTCAAGATCTGTAGACTAGGAAAAGTGCTCTCTGCACATCAAAACAATAAATCCACACATTTAGAGTGTTATTCCCTTTTAGTGGGTAAAACAACAAACTGTATGTTGTGTGTATGTATGTGTGTCAATTTGCATAAATTCATGTGTGTACACAGGGCCACAGCTGTTTTCAAACAAGGCATCCAATTCAGGAAACAAGTTTGAGGACTGGTAGATTTAGGAAAAAAAAAACTTCTCTATTTAGAGAATTCTCAGTTCAATTTTAATTTCAGATAAACTATATCTAACAATACGCATATGTCTGTAAGTCCAATTGCATCAAATCTAACACCTTTTGTATCCTATGTGTGCACCAGTCAAGCAAGTTGAGCACAAATATACATAATACAGACAAAATACACAGGCATATAAAATAAAAAAATTTTTGAAATTAGTATAAAGAAAAATAGTGTATCCTATTTAACATCTAGGCCATACTTATACTGATATTACATTGGGTTTGTGAGAAATACAAATTTAGCTGAAATCCTGCAATTCATTTACTAGATCTGCCAGTATTTGGCTATTGTGTGGTTCTAGCTGGTTTAAATCTTTTGAGTCAGAAGTAATTAGGACACCTAGCCACAAAAGCAAAATAAGCAATAGCCATTCAAATGTCACTCACAGAAGACATTTTGCCAGTAAAAACTTGGTATGTAGAATGAGACTACTATTAAAACGAACAGAAAAGGGCTGGAGAGATGACTCAGCAATTAAAAACCCTGCCTGCTCTTCCAATGGACATGTGCTTGATTTCCAATAACCAAAAAAGCCAGCTCACAACCATTTGTAATTCCAGTATATCAGAATCCACTGCCCTCTCCTGGCCTTGTTGGGCAATGCAAGTAAGTAGCATATGGTCATCTTTAAACTCAGGCAAAACATTTGTACAAATAAAAATTAATTAATTAAAAGCTATTGTAAAGGGGTAGAAATACTTCAAAACATATCATTTATTTAATGTGATTCTCAGTTGTTAGAACCAGGGGCCCAGAATTTCTTTTTCAGGTTCTTGCTCTTGTTGAAAAAAGAATTTGAGAAGGAAGACAGAGGCACATAAAAAGAGTGGAAATCAAAGGATATCCAGAGCCCTTGTTCCTTATGACTCGTATTGAAGGAGCATAAAATTGACTGCCTCCATAGAGAGTTTGGTCTTGGAGACCAAGACAATGCACCAACCTTTAGGTACCACCAAGGAGGAAATACTTAGTATTAATTGATTGAAACTTGTAATCAGCTAAGAGATGTTCCACGTAACCTGGATGTGTATAAGACAGAGACAATGACAGCTAATTAAACTTACTGTCACCACTTACCTCTCAGTTCTGTATCCAGTATATAAGGAATAATGATATATTGATGTCACTTTGCCTTTCAGCTTTCTTACTGTTATAGAAGTTACAGAAGAACTATCTGTGCTGGCTTTCATTGGTCAACTCTTGGCTCTGTTGGCAGTGTGTCCCCACTGCCATCAGCTCCCATTTATCTTCACAACTAATTATAAGCGTCATGTGGGTATTTATCATTAGCCAAAGGCCAATCATGCTTTACTGTCAATCTAGTTTGTATACGTTAGCACTTGGAAATGAGTTACACTGACTAATATTTTTTGAACTCTGTCCTTGCTTTGATTATTTAAGACACTAGAGTATTACTGACCATTACTCATGCCACTGGCCTCTGTGCAAGCTGACATACTGACATTTATGTCTCTAATAGTGCCTGAGTAGTAAATAGCTAGTTTTCCTCCCTATCTCCCTGTCTAATATCACCTATTGGCCACAAATAATTATAAAATGCCTTGATTTCTCCTGCACATGCTCCATGGGACTCTGCAAAAATGAGCATTCTTGGGGCTAAAGGGATGACTCAATGTTTAAGTGCCCCGCCTGCTCTTGAAGAAGGCCTGTGATCAATCCTCAGTAACCACATCTCAGCACACAACTGTGTGTAACTCTGGTTCCATCATACCCAACTCCTTCCTCTGGAATCCATGAGCACCAAACATATCTTTGGTGCACAGACATACATGCATACAAGCCACCTATACATATAAAATCATATTAAAATTAAATAAATAAAAACTTTTTAAACAGTATTCCTACCCACCTGGCCTCTGTGTGGGAGAAAGTCATATTCTGCACTATGGGAGATGTTCAGTAGAACATCTTCCTAGCAGGTATTCTGATCCCCACAGAAATCACCTCTCTGGTCTTGCAAAGATATGATCAAGAAGTTTTGACAAAGAGCTTGCAGATCTTATTTAGACTCAGTGCTAGTGTTGGTGGAGCATGCTTTTCGTGGAGTCTAACTGACTTAGAGCATCAAGTCTCTAAAGGATTAGGTGGATCCTCTCCCACTGAGGCCAGATAAGGCGGGTCTCTGTTACATATGTGCTGGGAGCCATGGACCAGCCCATGTATGCTCTTTGGTTAGTGGCTTAGTCTCTGAGAGCTCCCAGGGATCTCGGTTATTTGATACTGTTGGTCGAGAGGAATCTAATGGGGTTTGGGTGGAACTTTAATGTCTTTTTGCAGATTAAGTGCATGGAACCACCTTTCTCTTGGAAAAGGACAACAGGCTGTTTGAAGGAAGACACTGTGCTTTAAATACTACTGCATGTCCCTGACAGCTGCCATCCAAAAAAGGGTTTGTTGACTAATTATGTCCAGGAGCTCATACCAAAATAAATACTGGATGCTGTAATGCACATCTTCCACAACTGAAATTTGAACTGAAGTCCACTGGCAGATGAAGGAAAGTGTGGTCAACCTCAGAGTCAAGTGTATTAATCCCTTCTAAAGGAAGACTGGCTCAGGTGTAAGTAGGTCTGTGACATGGGGTTTAATTGATTTTATTCTTACATCCTATGAAAAGAGAATGCACATGTGTGTGATGTCTGAAACCAGAGAAGCAAGACAATTTATTTCAAATCCCTTTCTGACCAAAAGCCTCTGATCTTTTGGTATTGTTGAAGTTCACGTTCAGTCAAAGAGTAGCTGTTCCTGAACAAGAAGTCTTCCATGTGTAAGACTTGAAAAGGAAGTAGAGATTAAAGAAAAGAAAAGCCTTGTATCAAGCTGAATCCTAAATTCAAACACTATCCAGGCCCAAAACCTTTGAAATAACCAAAGCAATGTTTTGTTTTATTTATTCTTCTGAAGACCTGCAGTATAAAATAGACATAAAACATTTACATCAAATGATCAGATCAAAGCATTCCTTTTCTAATTTGTTTACCAGAAAATGTCTAGGGGTGAAGAGGAGACTTCCTTTCAAATCAGGATGATTGAAGGCATGTCTCATCCTGAGAAAATTACTTACTTTGGGACTCTTCTAACATTTGAGGCATCCACACAAAA